TTTCTATAGAGCATCATGACAACTGACAATTACTCAGGGCATAATTAGGATCCTGCTTTAGAGGAAGTCCTACATAGGTTACACTTCTGGCCTTTTTTTCTGTCCTAGCATGGTTTCTGGAACTGTACAATCTTAAGAAATCTATTTTTACTGAAAGTCCACCTGGAAAGACATTTCCCTGTGTGCTGTGTACATGTCAAAATTGTGGATATTTGCCAGGTCAGTAAAGAATACATGTTGCCACCATCAAGTATGTGGGGGAACGATTCATGCACCTGCCAAAGAGGCCTACAGGAAGCAAAGTCCCTTTCAAGCTAGCCTGTCAATGCTCACATCTAAAAGGCATCTAACAAATCCCTTCCTCTGAGCTTTTTCTATCTTTCTCCATTCTACTTGCTCAAATAAAACTGACTTCATTTGAAGTGTAACACTTCCCTGCAACTTAAAATGCAGTAGCATTCCTGCTGATTCTGGTGCCAGCAATCTGCCATCTCTGAGCTGAGCAAGGTTGTTTCAGATCTAAGTGGGATGACATTGTCCCTTTAAGGGATCATTTTTCCCCCTCCCACAGCTTTCAACCTCCTAGAGAAACTCTTTCAACAGATAAGGACATCAAAAAATCTTTTCCAGGTTTCTCAATTTTATTTTCTTTGACAGCATCTGGGTTTTTTTTTTTATTTAAAGAGATTATCTGGAAAAAAATATTGTTCTTCACTGTGTCACCTGTATCTCCTTTGCTTGCTTTTTTAAAAAAGTGAAGATTAAAATGGGTAACATCATGATCAGATATGTAGTTCTACTATGTTATTAGAAGATTAGAATTTCATCTTTAAAAGTAAATACATTTTAGAGTCTTTTTACATGAGCACCTTGGTAGACTGTAGGTGTAGCATGGTGAAATCTAGTTTCCAGAGCCATTGAAAATAGTTGTTCATCTCTGTATAATGGTCTCACTTTCAAGTGTTGAAACACCCATTGTCACTTACACAGCTGCCAGTTAAGGGATATTTTATTCTACCTGCCAGCCAGCAAACATGTATCAGCAGGGCTGATTTCTGATAACCAACCATTGTGAGAGGTTCTCTTTTTTGAAGTCCTCATATCATCTTAATTTGAAGTCCTCCATTGTTTTCTCACTTTACATTTGATTTGGAGACTGTATATCTTGGCTATCAGTTAAGAGGAGGTTTCAATGGAAAAATTAACATCTCCTCTTGTGTTCAACCTTGGTGAGATTACAGGCAATGGCTTTAAGGAGGGTGAGGAAAGATTTGTTACCTGAAGGCAGTGTCCCCACATTACAATGAAATTAAGCCGCATTCTGATACTGTCAGAACTGGAGTTCAGTAATTCATGTATGGCTTATGGATTAGTCCTGCTTTCCAACAACATGCCTCCCAGCTACTTCTCTGACCTTTATGCCTTCAGTTGGGAGGTCTTAAGGGGCCTTTTATCTATGTTAAGCTACAGGTGGTCAAATGTCACCCTATGATCAGGAACCCTGGTTACCAAAGGCTTCCAATTGCTGTATGTTCAGCTGAGCATGGTTAGAAGACCTTTCCTTACCTTTGTGCTAAACACCTGAAGTGGAGCCCAGTGTGGGTGTAAATGTTGGTGGCAGCCAATTCTTATTAAGTCTGAAACAAGCTACAGGTAGGGTGACATTCTGTTTATTTAGAACAATAGGAAATACTAGAATGTGGTGGGAAGTATAGGATTTTGTTATTGTGTGTGCATGTAACATCTATCATTTCCTTTGCGTATTCTTTCCCCCCCACTTTTGGTCTAGAGTCTATTGACAGATATAATTTTTATTCATTCCATGACCATATCCACTGAATGTTCACCCAGTGCAAGGTTGTGCATATGCTCCTTTGTGACCACCAGTGACCAAGCATGCAACTTTTAGAGAAGACTACAAAGTCTCATGGGCTGTGGCATGTTAAAAACTAATGGTCTCACATCAACAGACTGAATTCACCTAATAAAGCCAGTGTGGTGTAGTGGTTAAGAGCGGTAGTCTCCTAATCTGGGGAACCGGGTTCGAGTCTCTGCTCCTCCACATGCAGCTGCTGGGTGACCTTGGGCCAGTCACACTTCTTTGAAGTCTCTCAGCCCCACTCACCTCACAGAGTGTTTGTTGTGGGGGAGGAAGGGAAAGGAGAATGTTAGCCGCTTTGAGACTCCTTAAAGGGAGTGAAAGGCGGGATATCAAATCCAAACTCTTCTTCTTCTTCTAAACCTGTGAGTAGAGGCCTTATGCAAGGGATTCCACTTATGAAATGGGGCTTTCTTCCTTTTCCCCCCTGCACTCCCTACAATTGGCTTGGAGGGTTTCAGGAGAGCCCTAGAACAGCATGCAGCAGGGAGGAGCTTCCATCTGGGAAGCTGCTATGATTGCAAAGCTGGAACATTTGTAACAATGCAATTTTGAATTCCACTCAACATGTTGAGCTGTTGTTTCCTTCAGATTGATTAACTATGAACAAATCACCTGCATGTCAATAGTATGTCCCCCAGGGTCCACTTTAGGAACTAAGTAATGGACATTCAGCAAGGTATAATTTGATGGACCCTGGCTGCAGCTGCTACCTTAGATGCTCCAGGATGTGTTGTCCTAGCAGTTCTGTAACCACACAACCTTGTGAGGGTGGGGAGGTCTCCACCAGAAAGAAACAGTGGGGACCACCAGGTAGCACAGAATTATAGGATGTTTGGGGCCACTGCATGTGGGGAAAATTAAGATGGTGGCTGCCCAGAGCCTCATCAGCAGGCATCATCATTGGTTGTGGGTCCTGACAGATGTCCAGAAATGTTAGGTGATGATGTTGGATCTGATGGGAACCATTGAGCTGTCAGTTATTTGGAGCGACTTTCTTAGTTAGTGTGGCATTTGGCCCTGAATGTCATTACAACCATTGATGGCAATGCCCCAATTTTTCTGACCCAACTGCCAGTTTAAGAAAGGAATCTCATTTTTCCTATACAGCATTAACATACAAATACTATAAAAATCTGGCTGTTGTTAATCATTATCTTTCAGCAGTTCTTTTCTTATTTTTTTAAATATAAAGTTCTTTTTCCATGCTGATGATAAAAACTTGTTTTACTGCCTGCAGTGTACCCTGTGCTTTAGATTTTTATGCCTTCATATTTTGTATCCTTATCTGTTCTTCCATTTTCTGCAAAAGACTTTAGTACTCAAAGAGCGGAGGGATGCTACCTGCCATGATTTCTGCCAGTACAGTGATGTATTTGCAGTATGAGACACAGACCATTTTCTCCCTCTGGAATTACAGTGAGGAGAAGTGTTGGGTATGCGTGCCTGTGTAGTATTATTATTTTCCATTGAACTGGGGCACTTTAAACTGTTCTGAGAGACTATGTCCCTAGTCCCTGACTTAATACAGAAAAATAATAATGTAAGAATAGCAGTGAATCGTATACAGGAAGGCTCCAGCTGTGATTGCTGGCTTTTTAGTCTACAAAGCAGCACTAGGAGACTCAACTCAATTTAAGGGCTATGGCAGGCTCTATTTCACAAATGAGAAGTTTAGGCCACAAGGGAAGGGGAGAACAAGAATTGTATGCATGTGTTCATCATTAGAGTTGAGTGAACCGTTCACTAGATAGCTTAGCTTTAAGCAAATGGATATAAGAAATCTTTATATACACTGATTCATTATTAGACTGATCAGTAACCCTAACCCTTGGGAAAGAACTGGACTGATTGGGTCAGTCAATTGTTCCTTCTTACCTCACAGAGGGTATATTCACACCAGGGCTGACTCTACCATAGAACAGTGCTGTACCACTCACAAAGCCTCTCCAGAAGCAGGCTACATCACAACATAACATCATCCAAGAGGCACAACTGGGGAAAAGGAACATAGAACACTCATACAAATGTTCATCTCTCCCAATAGAGCTCTGTGTGATGAAGTTACCATCCCAAGGCCTATTCACACTGCAGGCAAATGGGATGTATCATGTGGGCAGGATATATCCATGTATTAATAGAAGTGTTAATTGCATGGTATTATCTTCATAGTGACATGTATGAAGCCGACTTACAAATCCCACTCATTTATGGCAATTTATTTTTTGTTGTATTGTACTGCTGGTTTTGTATACTGCCTTTGTGTATTTCAGTAAAAAATAAATAAATAAATGTGGTGGTAACAACAACAACAACAGCCCATATAAATGATTCTGTTATATGAAACCATTATTGCTGATGTGACTCTAGGAAAATTGCATTGCCGCTATAGGCCATATGAAAGCTATCCAGAATTTTATCCAGAGGGGTTACTCAAAATGCATGGGCCAGCTTCATCATCCAGATACTAATGCATATTCCAGCCATGTCCCCCAGCCTACTTGTGACCAACATCAGTCTGAAGGAGGACTATGTGCAGGGATACACAAGTATGAACACTGGCTTTGTTGATGTCACATCAGCCAGCAGGATGCAGACAGTGGAGGTTACTCTATCAAGGCAAATGGGGTACTTCCTCACCATCCTCAGTTCTTCCAATTCCAATTCTGCCCACCTTCCTATTTAAAAGTGGCCAGCTTCTAGTGTGGGCACTAGCTCTTGTGTTATGGATAGCCTCTTCATACTTGAATATGGGTTATGGGAGAGGTTTGTAAGGTTGTGTGAGAAATCCCATTGAATCCTGAGCGAATGCTACAAATGTGAACACTATAACATGAAAAGACCATATTTTTCAGTCTATAAGACGCCCCCTATTTTGGGGGACTCTGATTTAAGAAAATGGAGGGCGATGGCCCCGTGTTTAAGATGACCCCTAATTTTGGACATAATTTTTAAGGGAAAAAACCTAGACTTAAACACGGAAAAATATGGTGAATGGTGTACTCCGAAGCTGATGAAAAATCTCAGGGCAGGTGAGGAGGCGTAAGTGAGCAGAAAAAGCACACAGGCTAACTTCCATAGTTACCAACACTTTAGTTATACAGACAAGCAGCTTTTATTCCTCAGATGTTTGTTATAGACCTTGACCTGTAGAGAGCCACAGATGATTTATTTTGTATTAGTGGTAGTTCTTCCTTGCTCTCAACAAGCCTGACTGATATGTTGGATTAGCCGTTGTGCACTCATGTTTTCTGCCTCATTTTCCAGGGTAAGGGTTTGTTTGTTGGTAATCCTCTTTATAGCTCTCTTTCTTCCATAGCCCTTATTCAGCAAAAAGCATTGGACAAGGTATACTGTTTCTTGCTCCTGGGTCTGGTAGATATTGACAAATCTCTGTGGAGAGGAATATAAGGCCCAGGGTTAAAAGTGAAGAAGTGTATCCAGACAAACTTAGTTGTGCTTACTTCCAGTTGAAATCACCGGGACTTAAATCATTACTAGCATGTCCCATTGATTTCAGTGGGAAGGAGAAACAAATGGTAAGACACAGATTCCATATATGACAACACCAATCACAGGAAGAAAAAGCAAGATGACCTTAAAGAGCTCAGGAAAAGGTTTATTAGGCCCAACACATTTCATAATAAATCCTGTGTCACTGATGTAGAGATAAATAATATAAAACTATGAAATACTTATATGAACCAGTACTTAATGGTAAGACTTTATATGGTCTCAAAATATCAACAGCAACCAGGAACAGGACAAACAACTAATCCATTGTTTAGAAAGTTCAGACTGGATTAAACTGGATTCAGCCCAATTTCTTTATTTCTCATCAGCAGATGAAGCACACCACAGTGAGATCTGATTGAGATAGACATGGTTTAACTTCATGATATTTTGCATGTAGCTTGTACACAGTTTTCTTTGGGATCTGAACATATGGAAGAGCAGTCAGTGCTTTCCTTGCTCATTGCAAGCACACTCTGTGCCCTATTTGCCATACACACCATCTGTTGTTAGGGCATATGGATTGGGCCGTTGTCATGTGCTGAGCAGATAGTTGTACCACCAGAGATTAAGCAAGTAAAGGAGGAGAAAAGCAGCAATGACTGGATGCAGTCAGGGGTGAATGATGCGCTACTTCTAATACTGCTAATTTATTTAGTATTCAGACTTCACTGAAGAACCTTTTGTCACATCATCCATCACAGAATGGCACTGGAGAGATGGAGTTTAGAAAAATTAAAAACCTGTTTGTTACTGTAAACCAAAGAGCATGAACAACATCCATCAAACACAGACAGAGGTGGAAGATAAACAAGAGTTGGTTGGAACCAATTGATGTGCACTGATTTTTTTCATAACTCCAATTTATTAAAATGCTTCTGCTAGAGATTAACTATCTGTAGTGCAATATTTATCTTCTCTCCCCTTCCATCTGCATGGCTGCACATAGCAATTTCAAACACTTAAAAAAATTAATTGGAGAAAAAACATGTTTCTTCTTATTTTTTATAGTTTTACAGCTTATGCTAACGCCTGTATTTAGAAGACACACCACAGCTACATTTTTCAGTATGTTATAGCACATGGCAGGCATAAAAGGTATGCCTCCTACAGTAATGCTAAAAGCTGCTTGACTTAATTCCCCCTAGTGTGTGCACAAGTATATGAGCTCATCCAGTGAATGGAACAGGCAGCCTTGGGGAGGTTCTATCTATCTCAGCTTCCATTTTATTTTATTTAAACATTTTATATACTACTTAACACAGTAGTCTCTAAGAGGTGTACAATAAGATTTAAATAAGCATAATAATGATAAAATCAGTTAAAACCATAAATAAAGGAAGTATTTGCTCAGCACCAGAAGTTCAACAGGAATTGGGGGAGGAGGGCATGTCTGATCTCAGCTGGAAGTTTGACAAAATTGGGCCCAGAATTGAGCACATGGCTCCTGATAGAGGTGAGCTGTGCATTCAAGGCACCACTAGGCATGACTCCTCCAGATGGTCCTTAAGGTATCCTGGACCCAATTTGTTAAGGCCCTTGTAAATTAATAGAATAACCTTGAATCAGTTTCTCTGTGAATTAACACTTTTCCATGTCTAAACTGGGTATGATAGTAATTGTACAATCTCACAGGGATTCTTGTTTTGATCACACACCAGAACCTTAACGAGCATCTATAATTTTAAATGGAATTTATGGGGATGCACAGCTATAAATAGGGATGCGGGTGACGCTGTGGGTTAAACCACAGAGCCTAGGACTTGCCGATCAGAAGGTCACTAGTTCGAATCCCTGCGACGGGGTGAGCTCCCATTGCTCGGTCCCTGCTCCTGCCAACCTAGCAGTTTGAAAGCATATCAAAGTGCAAGTAGATAAATAGGTACCGCTCCGGCAGGAAGGTAAACGGCGTTTCCGTGCGCTGCTCTGGTTCGCCAGAAGCGGTTTAGTCATGCTGGCCACATGACCTGGAAGCTGAATGTCGGATCTCTCGGCCAGTAAAGCGAGTTGAGCGCTGCAACCCCAGAGTCGGTCATGACTGGACCTAATGGTCAGGGGTCCCTTTACCTTTACCTTTACCTTTACCTTTACAGCTATAAATGATCACCAAAACAGCCATAATCAAATATCCTGGAAGTAATTCAAAGCAGTACTAAACAAAAGTCCTTTAGTGGTGTCATAGTTGGGCTAGAAGAATGGCTTGTGCAAGATAAGGCACAGGAAGTCAGCATGGGTCTCATTACTGGTTGTACAACAGATTGTTGTAAGCTCCAATACTTCCTGTTGTGAAACCTGTTGCATGATAAACTTCCACTAGTGCAGCTGTTGGATTTCATATGGCACAGCCATTATTCTTGCTCTTATGCTAGCACAACAGCCCTTGCACTGGCGGTCAGAGAACAGTGAATCTGGAGTCATGGCTAGTACCAGATGGTTCCAGGCTGGTGTGCAATGGGTGTTGCACAACCTAGGAAGGTATGATCCTACCTTGGGAAAAATTGCCACTCTTTTCAAAATTATTTTGATTTCCTTTGGAGGTTCTCAAATGTTTTAACTGTTTAAGAACCTTAAAATTTGCTTCTGATTCTACACTAGATAAAGATTTTGCTGCTGTTTGAAGGATTCTTAAAATTTGGATGCTTAGATGACACTAAGCCACCTGATGCACTTTTGAAAAAATAAAAGGAATAATAATAATAATAATAATATGCAGTAATTATGACAAATCGTGATTCGTTCTTTCCTGTTTGGCATCTCTAGTATCCTGCAGAACAACTTTTAGATTTACTGAAAATGACTCTGAACTTCACTTCAGTTTGAACACCTCTAAACTTCAACCATTCCCATGTATCATCCAGACTCTGTACTCATAACACTGGGAAGTAGATGCAATTTTCTTTTAAGGCAAACTTAATTATATTTATGCCTTTTCAAAATGACTGCTGCCAAATTTATATCTGAACTCATCATATCAGTGGATTAGACATTTCGTATCATTCCCTGCTGCTGACTTCTGAGCATTATTTACTTGATTATAAAGCCTGGTTTGATGGGACACAATCACATTTCTGTTCTCAATTATCAGCCCAAACTGTGTTAGTCAGAGATCCCTTTGAATAAAGAAAATGACCTAATGGGTTAGTTCTCTGCCATGGAATTTAAATGTCTCTATTCAAATGTCAAACCAAACTCACTTTCACTCCCCCTAACCTTTTTAAGTTAGCTAAAAGTATGGAAGCAACAAGCAATTTGATTTGCAACTTAGGGGCAGTTCAAGCATTATTGAAACTGGCATTCCTGTATATGCAGTGGAGCACAGGCTACATGTCTGCTGCCTATTACATATCAATTATAATGTGATTCATATATCTGCACAAGTACACATAACCTCTGCAATCCATCTGCCTTGAAGGAGGAGGAATGGACGCTTTAGAAATTATGAACCGTATATCACAGCACCCAAATCCATGCTGTGTGTGCACCAGTAATCACTACTATCCCAAACATGCTTTCTTTTTTTTAATCTCAAGCTATATATATATAACTGTCACTATAAATAGCATTTATAAGTGGCACCAGGATGACTGTGAAACTCTTGTATTATTTTGAATGTGAGTGCATTATACTGTACAGAGTCAAACGAAAGCCAAACCGTTTAATTATTGCTTTCTGCATTCATATTCCTTGGACATGATTCTCTTGTTTCCAGTCTTCCTTTTCTTTTCTCTCTGTTAAATATGAAATGGGAGTAATTAATTTTAGACTCCCTAGAGCCTATTGAAACAACCTTGGGAATTGGATAACAGTCTGCACGAGGCAAACCATGTTGTCAAGATAATTTTTACTGCAGCTTGATGTTTCTTGTGCTATTCTAATAAAGACCACTCCATTTCACGCACATAAAACTATATTGACAATCAATCCTCCACACTCTGGCTATTTCAACCATTTGCACTCTTCCTTTAATGCCCTAGGACACCTCTGTGTTAACTTATAGTGTGGTAACGTCAGCTGCTTGCATGCATAAGAACTTAGACGGTTGCAAATTTTATTGCAGCTGTTTATCTATTGAGGGAAGGGCAAGTAAGCATTCTTCCCCCATCCCTTTAAATTGCACAGCAGAAAACCCTTGGTAAATTTTCAGCCTATGTTTTCATTGACTCCCACGTAGCACCAGATCTATTTACTCAGATTACTACCTATTGGTAGAACCAGATTATCACCACAAAGATAGGAAGACACATGGAAAATAGGATGCTGAGTCAGACAACTCATCCATCTACCTTTGTATTATCTGCGCTGACTGGCAGTGGCGCTCCATAATTTCAGACTTGGGACATTCTCAGCCCTAACTGGAGATGCCAAAGAATGAACCACATCTCACATTAATTTCTCATTCTAATTCCAGGTGCTCAGCTTGTGGAGTCCTTGAGTTTCCATTCTTCTCTAGCTGAGCTTCTAGTGAAGCACTTTCACATCAGCTGGCTAACAGCTCTAAGATGGCTAATTAACCTAATTGGCTCATCTTAATGATTTAGGACTATCTACAAAGGATCCATACAATGACCAAAACATGGAAATACACCTCAGCTTCCATTTTATCATGATGGTGATTAGAAGAAAACGAAGCTGATTTTACAGAGGTGACCTGCTTGCTAAACAGAGCTCTTTAATATCAGCTGCAAAAGGTCTGAAAACTACCAGTTTGGAATAATAAAGCTTGCCATTAAACAACGTTATCCACTGGTCTTGCTGCCAGCCCAACAGAGAGCATGTGAGAAACATAGCAGGGTTCTGCAGTCTGTTTTGTATTGTTTCTGCATCTTGTCTTGCACATTCAGGGATGAGGTTGTATGAATTTTTCAGCATATATCCTGCCCAGCTCTGGAAGCTCAGAGCAAATGGTTCAGAACAACAGATGATCTCAACAACTACTTAAAAAAGAACAGATGGCCTAGGTGAGGCAGGTATCACTAAGATCTTGACCCTCATGAGGCTGGATGTGGGGAAACCCTTCATGCCTCAAGGGGCATAAAATGTCTTTGACCGTAACTAGCTCTCTGTGGAAGGGCTCTTGATCCAGCAGATGTTACCACATGAGTTGAGGTGATATTTCCTCTGATCTGCCCTTCCCACTATAGGCCCCTGCACTGCCTCTCATGATGCTCTGGAGGGTCCACAACCTTCTAGAACAGTTAAGGGAGCAACAAGGCTGCAGAGAAGATGTATCTTGTGAATGTCCCTTTGTTCATCAGACCCAAGCAGATGTTCCCCTCCTGTTGCATCATTTAGACAGCATTGGGATATTTTTTCACCCAGGCATTTGTTACTTGAAAGGTGGCAGGTTTCAGCAGAAAGTGTTACAGGATTCAAATTGGTTTATTTAATTGCTTAACTTTTTGTAATTGTTTAGTTATTTCCTTGTAGAGCTACTAAAATATAAACTCTGTTATGTTGTTTGTTTAATATTTCGTATTTGGGGCAACATTTAATTACCGGTATACATATTTATTTATTTATTTTTAAAAAAGAAATTACCTATTTAATTGGAAGCAGAATGATGATCAGAACAGACCATTGGCCTGATCCAGTCGCTCTCCTTATGCCTTCAGAGGCAGAAGTAGTCTCCTGACTGCTACCTGTTACCTGTAGGGCAGGTGTGGGCAACTTTGGGCCTGCCATAAGTCAGACCCTCCAAGTGTTGCTATTTTCCAGAGACAGTCCCTGATTTACACAAACCATCCTGGTTTCTGATTTGATCTGGAAATGTCCCACTTTTCCTTCGGGTGCCCCTATTTTCATCAGAGAAATGTTGGAAGGTATGGTAGGAAGTCCCTCTTTTCATTGGAGGATGTTGGAGGGTATGGAGTTATCTGACCCCAGAACTGTCTGAAAGCAGCCATGTATAGGGAAGTTTTTTATGTTTTTATATATGTTGGAAGCTACCCAGAGTGGATGAAATAATCCAGTCAGATGGGTGGGGTATAAATGGCAAAAATTATTAATATGGAATGGGACATCCCTATTTCCATCAAAGAAATGTTGAAGGGTATGCATAAGTTGTCAAACTACAGCTCCCATGATCCCTGGCCCATTGGCTATGGTTGCTGGAGCTGATGGTGTAGCAACATCATGAGAGCTAAACATTTCTCATACCTGTTGTAAGGAATGCTGCTGCTCCTGGAAGCATCTAACTGACCACTGTTGAAAACAGAATGCTGAACTAGGTCAGTCCCTGTACTGAAGCAGCTGTCTTCTTATCTTTAATAAGGGTTTTTTATTCAAATGTTCATAGAGTTTCCATTGCTTGCTAAATATAAAAAATTAGACCATGTCACAGTAACTTTCTGGTGCATTTTATCCTTTAGATGTCCTTTGAGAAATCTTGATGTACAACCTAGTCACTTTCAAGTGCTTTTATTCATTGAGCAAAATGGGACAAGGGCCTTCATCAACTGAAATACTGACAGGGACTAGCCTGAGAATGCGATTTTAAATGCCTGTTATTATTTTTCAGAGAGACCAGGGTGTGTGTGGGGAAGTCTGCATAACATCAGCACTTCAGTAAAGTGTAAAGCAGAGTGCATTATGTAATAGCCAAGGTTATATCTGATTTTTTATTTTTATTTTTATTTTTTTGCAGAGCTGCTAATTGGAAGATGAAACGAGCAGAGCAAAATGCACAGGCGGTGTTTTCCACCATGTACCATATGATTAAAAGATCACCTTTTTTGCTTCATACCCGCCATCTGACTCAGTTTTTTTCTGATGGATTCAGCATCTTCCTGAACTGCATCCAACAGAGAGAGAAGGAGAGGGAGAGAGATAAAGTAAAATAAAAAAGTAGAGCTTGTTAAGTTTTGGGGGCAAAAAGCAAGCAAGCAAGCCGACAAACAAAAACCCTCTATCACGAATTGTTTGTGTCACTCACAGTTCACCAAAGAGATTTTCCAGAGAACTACACTACGTAGTTTTGACCGTTGAAGTGAAAATCTTTGCGGAGCTTACATTTTCAGGAATAGTTTGTCGTTTTCCAATTGCTTTAGGATTTTCAAAGTTCACTGTTCATTTTGGCTCCTGGTTGCTTTTAAAATTTATGTTACCAGATGAAGGAGCTAATCTCTTTTGATTCAAATCCATTCACTCTGGGAGTTCAATTTAAAAAGTTAGTACGTCCTCATAAAGAAATGGGGGGGGGGGGAGCCCCAGCAACATGAAATTGGATTACTTTCTTTGGGGGAAAAAAGGTGACTGGCAGCCCCATCTGTAACTAGTTATGCTGATTTAGCTCTATTGATTCCAGAAGGAGAAGGGACCAAACAACTTAAATCTATGCATTTAATTGTGTTATTTCTTCCTGACCATTAGAGAGGATAAAAGAGAAGAACAAGATAAGGAAAACAAAAAGTGGCATTAAGCTATGAAATTGACACCCAAATCTTATGGATCGCCTCAGACTGCAGTTGCGGCAGAAACCTAATCACATATTGTGGCAAAACCTCCCTCTTGCTTTTCTGCCTGGCCCATTTCCACCTGTGCTGGCTGGCTGAGCCCTGCCTGACTACATTTACCAAGGCTGCTTCATTTACTAAGGGTGACTAGAGATCATGGATCCATTCAGAGCATGTTATGGGAAGAATCATGGTCATGCAGGTTTTTCTGGCCCCTTGCAGGAGACAGAGGAATTGTTGGTGGATGATGCCTTAGAGCTTAGATCTAAAGGGTGACATGAGACAAACTGCTCAGCTGTTGTTTGGCATGCCGTTGACATGTTTTCTGCTACTTTACATTATTGATTGTTAATACTGCACATTTCAACTGCCTCATTGTAATGAAGTGAATTGGTTTGAAACCTTCTGAGACACCTTACTGATTTAGCATAGCTGGGTAAAGATTTATTAGCTAAAAGTGGTTACAGTGGTACCTCGGGTTAAGAACTTAATTCTTTCTAGAGGTCCATTCTTAACCTGAAGCACCACTTTAGCTAATGGGGCCTTCCACTGCCGCCGTGCGATTTCTGTTCTTATCCTGAAGCAAAGTTCTTAACCCGAGGTACTATTTCTGGGTTAGTGGAGTCTGTAACCTGAAGCGTCTGTAACCCGAGGTACCACTGTATTAATTTTGTGATAATTGGCCATACCCAACTAAGTCATGCGCAGAGCAGTCCCAGACTTAAGCCCGTTGATTTCAGTGGGTCTGTTCCCTGTTGGATACATATTGTTTGCGTTCTTTTCCTTTGGATATAAATATTGTTTGTTCCCACAAGTTCACAGAGGAAGGTGGTCCATTATGCAGCATGACTCTGAATACAAGCTGCTGAGAATCAGAGGTGCGTAGGATGGTGTTGCACTCATGCCATGTTTGCGGGCTTCCCATGGGCATCTGGTAAGAAAAGGATGATGAACTAGATGGACCTCTGGCCTGATTCCATAGGTTATTCATATGTTCATTAGGGGGAATGCCACCAGCATCAAAATGCCAACTCCCACCTGCTTACCTTCTTACTTATCTCCAGTCCAGGAGATGGAGCTACCCATAAACTCCTTTCCCCGCTTAGAAAAAGGGCTGTTCTTGAATAATGTTGTAGAGAGGATGAGGAGGACAAAACTAGACTTAGTTCGCTCTGCTTGTTATTGGGTCTGCTTTCACCTACTCCCTGATTTCTGCCCTGCCAGTGCCAATGGGTACTAACCACCAATAGGCATTTATAGACCAAAATATCACCAGTTTATTACAACAACAGACGAAGCCAAAATATAGCTGGTACAGGATGTAAGAAAAATCTGGGAGGTCACACCACCATGCATAACTGTCATTCTGTAGATAGAAGATGCTGCAAAGGTTTTAGTAAAACACAGCTCTTTACAGTTCAACTATAGATTGCAGCCAAGTAGACTAATCCTGTTAATGTTTATTCAGGAGTCTAAAACTTTAAAGGAGACTTTCCCCCCAATTTGCATAGATATGCAAACTTAATCAAATATAAATTCTGATTTTGAAATTCAGATGGTTTTTATTCAAAAAATTTAAGACTTATTCTGAGATCTTTTTATGACTCTTGGGTTTTACTTTCAGCTTATTTCCATTCACAGTCATTTTTATTTATATTATCCATTTTTGATTTTTGTTTTTTCCTGTTAACTTTTGCATTTTGATACTTTTCTTCAGCTACCTATGCCTTAATGATAAATGACAAGTCTGGGGCAGTCCATCATCTGGTGACCTGTTTATAATCTATCTTCCTCATTTCTTGATTTTAAAATGGCATTTTTTAAACAAATAAAAAGCAGCCCCTTTTCTCACTGCAATGACTACTGGTGCTATGCTTAATATGATGCAATGTTTAATATTCAGGGCTAGTTTTACTGCAGTGCTTTTGGTACAGTGAACCTTTATGCTTTTATGTTTCTCTTTTTTCCTTCAGATTTATTTTATATCAAACATTTTTGTACCCAGCTTTGTTCTTTCCTGATTTCAAGAAGTGTAAAATCAATAGCCATAGCAAGAATACAATGATAAAACTAGAAATAAGATTCCTAAATTAACTTCCAACACTTTGAAGGACCCAGGATGCCTAACAGCAATTAAAAAAATTATACAAATGTCATAACAACATACAAATATCATAAAAATACATTTAAATGACAACAAATTTATAACCACTTTTAAAGATACAGTAGCAAAAACAATAAATTCTTCCTGTTGATCTTGACCAGCATCACCAAGTGCTGGCAAGATTAATGTGTTTTTAAGCAACATCAAAACTTCAGCAGTAGGGAGGGCAATCCTATCTCAGCGATGGAGAAGTTCCATAAAGAGAGGCCCTGCCCCCATGCCACCACCCTATGGGTCTCAGCCAGGGCTGATCCATCCATGTGGCAAGGTGAGGCGACCACCTTGGGGGCAGCAGATTCTGCCTCCAACAAATACATCACCCACTGCTGCTGCTGCTATGGTGAAAGCAGTGGCTGTGGTGCGCTCCTTGGAAGTCAGATCTGCCATCTCCTTGGCTGTCTCCCCATGCCTCCTCTGCAACATCCCATCCCTAGGGAGGAAATGGCAGAAGTTGCCTTCTCCTGGGTTCTGCGCCTGCCCAGTATGATTCAGAATGTGACCTCCCCTGTGTTAAAATTAAAAGCAACAACCTTTTAATTCCCACTTCAGTTGTCAGGTAAGGTTGATTTGACACCCACCCCCTGTTCCCTAAACAGCCGTACCTTGGAAGTCAAAAGGAATCTGCTCCAGAAATCTGTTCAACTTCCAAAATGTTCGGAAACCAAAGTGTGGCTTCTGATGGGCTGCAGGAAGTTCCTGCAGCCAATTGGAAGCAGCAGGAGCCCCGTCAGATGTTCGGCTTCCAAAAGAATGTTTGAAAACCAGAACATTTACTTCCAGATTTCGATCTTTCAGGAGCCGATTTGTTCAGGAGCCAAGGCATTTGAGATCCAAGGTATGACTGTATATATTTTCATTCACTCCTCCTTCTCTGGTGGGGGCATTTTGTGGTTTACCTTTGGTGCCAAAATGTCTTGGGCCAGCCCTGCTCTCACCTCTTGGTTTCTGTTGCCCTGTAAACAATGGCAAACAATCACATTGGGCATGTGTCACTCCCCTCTGGAACTAAAGGGCAATTCCCCAGGTTTGCACATGCTCATTGACTAAGAACATTGTTCAGTAACTTGGTTCTGACCTAATGAGAAAAAAAGCACAAATTATAGGTAATATTTTAAACTGGGAAATAATAAAATTAAAGAAAAAAGAAATACTTCAGGGCAAGTTGACTTATCAAGCAAAAACAGCTAAGAACAACAGCGCACTGGAAATTAATTCAGTACATGTAGGTTGGCTCCATATCATTCTGACAGGTCTCGCACCTACCAGTCCTTGAAACAAATAATAAAAATTCTTCCTCACCTCTCCCCATCTTCTCCCATCTCTATATATACTTAAAAGTCGTTTTCCCAAGAGAACAATTTACTGTTTCCTTGAATTGGGCATCACAGTTGTAGACAGAAGGAATGCAATGACCCCAATAAAGCAAGTTGCCTTGCCCACCAAAAACTGTCAAAGCTTTCTTCCTTATTGTTTTCTAGGTTAAGGAGTTAGCAAAGTGGGAAACTTACTTATTATACAGAATCTGTCTAACTCCTCGCAAACTTTAAACAGACACACTAAGCAATGATGACAACTTTGGCCAAGATTTCTGTTTGTGTTTGTAAAGAAATGTACTGCTTTAGGAAGAATGTTCCTTCTGTGTTTGTGCTCTCTCTCTCTCTCTCTCCTGCTTTCTCCTTTTAAATGTACATTAAAGTACACAGGACTCTTGCAAATGTGATTCTTCTAAATGGTAGTGTGGGAGAAATCAAGGTACCATAGCATAATCTAAACTTTCCAGGATAGTTTCCTGTGGGTTTAAGTGGTGTGCAGATAAGAATGTGAAAGTTCACAGAAAATAGCAGAGCCACATGTAATGATATATTGATTTTGTAAAAGTTCAGCATGGATGCATGTTTCCCAGCTACAAGTGGGACCTATAACAAAATGTTACCGAATGGAGTGTTGAAAGCTAGTTGTGCCAGCCACTCAGCCATACCCTTTTCAAGAATTCTCCATTCCACCACCACTCCTCAAAAAACAGTCAACATTCCATGAGCACTGTGCATGCTCAGGCATCATTGTGCAGTTTGGACGTTTCCCCTTTATTTTTACTTTGTTCTGCAAACTTCTAGGTTCACGAAAGCCTGCTGATTCCTTTCCATGTGTGTGTGGTGACATTTTGGCTATATAAGTATCTTCATTCAGATAACGAGTCTGGTAGTGGTATATAGGATAATAAATCTATAGCATTTTTCACTCTCTCTTTTTTTAAAAAAAAAAATAAGAATAAGATTCTGATCTCCTTAAGAGTTAATTTGCATAACCAGCTTTCCCATTAGAGGATATATTCAGTGTTGAAAAGAACTTTTACAGTTGAACTTTTCAAGAGCTTTTGTTTGGTTTGTTCTGAGTAGTGCCACCAACTTTGCTGAATACCTTTCCCAGAGAGTTGTGCTAATTTATACACTGTGTTCCTGAGGTACGAGGCTGCCTTTACATTTTGTAATTGTGCTTTTGCATTTTCTATTTGCATTTCAACTTGTGATTTGATTGTTAAAGTTGTTTTAGTTCCATCTTTTATGGCAAAGAGCAGGAGATAATTGATGAAACTGAACTTACTACCAATGTTTATCAGTAGTTCAGGTCCATTAAAAATAAGTAACAAATGGATGAGGGGGGCATTTTTATACCTCAAGCTAAACTCCAGTGTATCTCATGATAGTAAAATGTCTCAATACCAAACCAAGAGTATGATATCAGAAGATATCTGCTTCCCTGGGTCACTTTTGTTATGAGGAAGAAGGAATAAAAACAATATCCTGTGGCATTTTATCTCACTTTATATGTCAACATTGGCTGGGACAAAAAAAAAGGGTAAAATCTGTATACAGTGGTACCTCTAGCTGTGGACACGATCCGTTCCGGGGTGCCGTTCGCATCCCGAAAAGTCCACAACTAGAGTGGCGCTTCTGCGCAAGCGCGGAGTGCAATAGAGCACTTCTGCGAATGTGCGAAGTGCGCAGAACACTTCTGCGCACACGCACGTGGCAAAACATGGAAGTATACACGTGTTTGCAAGCCAAAAAGACACAACATGAACCTAATGCAACACGGGGTATGACTGTAGTATAAAATACCTAAAATGTTCATTCAATAGCTTAATAATTGCATCACTAACTTAAGTCTAAGTGAGTTCATTGAGACCTTAGTATAACTAGAATCTGGTTTAGAACCACACCCACACTCACACACACCCACACACCCCTTGAAAAAATATGCAGGAGTGCACCATTCATAGTTGTGATCTTTCTGTAAGAAAACCATCCCCTTAATTTAAGAAATGGCATTATTGCCTAAAACTGTGCTGATTTTTTCACTGAACTAAATTACTTAATTATAGATTTTGAAAGATCCTTGTTGAAGGGAGCACTGGAGCTGTGTCCATGATTCATGTTCTTAGCATTATTATTCCATTCTTTATCCTGCCTAATAGTCTACCAAAATATCTGAAATCTGAAACTGCCAGCTTTTCAAGGACTGTTTGGGCTTGGATGGTATGTAAAACAGTTTGGGTGCGTGTTTTTTCTGAGTCAGGTGTGCTATTTTTGCTCATATTACTCATTTGAATTTCTAAGGGATCAGCAGCCTGCTTGTCATTGTATAATCCAGGAACGTTAATTAAATAGATCAGCACATAAAAGCAACAATTTTCACCTCAAAAACCAGCATTACGCTGAGTAGGTCATGTTTCTTATCTTTAGAGATTGCCAAGAACACTTAAGATGACTATAATTGGGGAGGGGAGGGGAGGGGAAGGATGTAAGAATCTTTAAAGTTCATCTCAGTGTTCAGCTTTCCATGGTTTATCATTGTGTTATGCATTCTTTTTCAGTATCTCGTCTTTTAATCACATTTCCTCCAGTTGGAGAAAAAAGAGGATAAAAGCATCCTGAAGGAAGAACGTAAGAAAAGGGTTGATTTTTGCCCTCAGTCATATTTAATATTTGTTCGCTCGCTAGTGATCAGAGGTTTATTTTCAGTTGGCCACAGATTTCTCTTCACAGTCTGGACAGAAAGAAGGTAGAGTAGCAACATGGACTGACTCTGTAAACCACTGCCATGGAATTTAGGGAGACTCCTCCCCCAATGCATTTTCCTGAGTTTTTCAGCCAGTGTCTGATCACTGCATGCATATCAGTTAATATCTTGACCCTGCTCCACTGAATTGAAATTTCAGCCTTCATGACATAGGAAAATGGTCACGTACATAGCTATTTTTGTGGAGGAGGGTCAAAATATTAACTGATATGCATGAAATTTCATATATAGCTATATAATCCCTAGTGCCTTTGGAGCAGGCATTTTCAAAAAAAGAGTTTTTTTATGAATCGCCCTAGTAGGGCAGTAATTGTTCCTTGATAATTTGTAACCCCCCTACATGATGGCACCTGGGGCGACCCACCCCGCCCCCCTTTCCTACGCCCCTGGCCTGGAGTTGCCTGTGAGGCTCTGATTGATTGCCTGTGTGTAGGTGCTAATTTCAATCATTTGTAATACAGTCAGAGGCCTATTAAAGGGTGCTGATTTTGATGCATTCCAAGTTTGCTAGCACAGTGTCAGTTTTTGTATCTGACTCACCTTAAAACAAATTGCCTGATTTTGACAAACATTTGAAAAATAACCGTTCATAATAACAGTGCCAAATATTAGTGATCAAAACCACAAGAGGACTGATTGACTGACATTTAGAATTCTGGTATTGCTAGCTAGCATATGGAGGAAGAAAAACTAGCTCAAACCAAAGCGTTTATGAATAAAACTGTCATTTGGACATATGTTGCTTCTATTTAAAACTGCTCTTTCCATGTTTATATACAGTCTGGAAAGAGAGAGAGTGAGAGGATCAGGAAGAAGTCAGGCGTTTTTGAGTGTTTTAAAAACAAGTTAAATTTCACTTCATCTACAGAACATTTCAGATTCTTCTGTTTCTGCATTATGCTATTTGTATGTTTCTGCAATGGATAGAAGCAGGAGTCTCTCTATCTTTTTTTGTTCACTGAAAATGCCATTAGTCATAAATACCAAGATAAGCTTCTGAATTGAGCTTTGTACCATTTAACATGTCAAATCTGAAGATAAGATTGGAGTACACAGACAATTAGGGGTGCCAGTTATCTTCCATATATTCAAAGCCATAAAAGTAAAGTAATATGATTTTTCTTTATGTAATACATCAAAGAGAATTTTACAGCAAAGACATGAAGCAGTGGTTAACTCTTCCTCCTTTGGAAATTAGTAGCAAGAAACTCTTCAGGTTTTTCCATAATATCGACTTTATTCAATCAGATTAAGAAAAAAACAAACTACAGTGCAATATACCCCAAATATACCCAGCCCCCCAAGGAGGACATGCAATTAAAATCTTAGTTCTTTATGTTAGGATATTTCCGTTCCACCTTAAAAGGGAGCAGGCTTTGTGAGTCACAGAGTCTGTGTATTTCCTGTTCACAGGAAGTTTATGTTTTGTCTTTTGCTTTCGTTTCTCTCTGTGTGTCTGAGACACTGAAGCAGGCAGTCATGTTTTCTTTGTTCTGTCCAACGCTGAATAAACTTGTAAATAATGCTCTCCTGTGTGCATCTTTCGCTGTGTGAATTCTGCTGATAGAGCGTGCATCAGCTCTGGAATGTGGCAAGCTATTTCCGGGAGCTCGTGTCGCTAATTGCTGATACTGTATCTACGGGAGATCAATGGACGTCCGGAGGCGACGTGGAGTCATGATGGACTTTGTCTCCCTGGCAGTATCCCAACAACAGGTTATGGGACCAGATTCACGGCACTTACAGGAGAGTAAAACTGCGACGGACTGCTGAAGGTATGTGGAGGAAAAGCGAAAGTCGAGGCTTTTCGTTGCCGCGGCAGAGTCTCTTTGATGTCCGGCTCGGCTAATTGGTCTGGAAGCCGAGCCAAGCAGGCCTCAAGATTTATGAGCTGCCAAGATAAGGAGTCTCTGATGTGAATAAGGGCTCACGGCTCAAGTGAATAGCTGAGATGGAGTTTTTACAAGCTTCTGAAGCTGCTGAGTGCCCAAAGCTAAATTGGCACAATTACAAGACCTGGGCTGTGTGGTGTGAGAGTTTACTACGACAGTTTGGAGTGTGGCATACTGTGTGTGAGGCCCCTCCAGTTCCTCTGACAGATAGATGGAGGGCCCAACATTCAAAGGCCATAGACGTAATAGTCTTATCCGTCTCTCTGGAGGAAATTAAAATGCTAGCTGGCAACATGACTGCACGTCAGATGTGGAATGCTTTGAAGATAGCCCATCTGCCAGTCATCCCAGCCCAGAGTTTGACTGCATCGGAGGTCCTGGCTGTTTCCCAGAATGCAAGTGAATGCAGGGATGCCGAGGGCACCGGTTGCAAGCTGCAGGAGGAGCTGACTGTGATGTCATCCCAGGCAGCATTCCAACCTCCAGGGGAGCCAAGGAGTCGGCAGCTGAGAGCTCTGTTTCTCGTGGGAACCAAGGTCATCGCTCTGCAGAGGCCGGAAGGCCAGAGGTAAACAGAGACAAATGCCTGCAGATGGCCAGAAGCAGAAGGGGGGGGGTGAAGAGCCCACGCCAGTGGAAAACAAGGCTTTGTTTGCTGGCACAGCTTCACCAAAGGCTAAAGGCAAGTTTGTTGGCCAGGAGCAGGGGGGCAAGCAGCAAAAGCCCACGCCGGTGGAAAACAAGGTTTTGCTTGCTGGAAAAGCTGCTCCAAAGGCCAAGGCCAGATTTATTATTGATTCTGGATGCACCCGCCATCTGGCAAAAGACCGGCATCTCTTTATCTCCTTCAAACCTCAAGATGGTGAGATCCACCTGGCTGACGGAAAGACGTTACGAATTGCAGGAGAAGGGACTGTGAAACTGGCAAGTCTGCACACTACCATCAAAGATGTACTTTATGTTCCAGGTGCTGCAGACAATTTGCTCAGTGTCCCACAGCTGACTGGGCGTGGCTTTGAGATTTCCTTCAAGAGGAGCGTCTGTGTCATCAGGAAAGGCAAAGAGGACATTTTGCATGCAAAGTTTATAGATGGATTCTTCTGTATAACTTATGATGACAATGGTGCTGTTGTGTCTAATGTTGATTCTTGTTGTGTTGCACAAACTAACAAAGTTCTTCATGCAGGATGCATTCATGATGCACATCAGCAGATTTTGTCACCTGTCTTGGAAGGCACTGGCCAAGATGCCAGAGTTGGTTGAGGGTTTGAACATCAAACCCTGTAAGTTTCACATGAAATGTGTATCTTGTGCAGAGAACAAGGTGAAGGTTGCTCCAAAAGGCAAGGAGTCTAGCAGGCAGGCTTCCAAACCCTACCAGCTAGTCCACGCAGACCTGGTTGGTCCACTTGCGCCCTCTTTGGGTGGAGCAAGGTACTTCATGGTTCTAATTGATTCTTTTTCCAGGTACATTCATGTGTTTATGCTCGAGCAGAAATCGCAAGCGTTTCCTAAGTTCAAGGCATTCTGTGCTTGGTTGGAGAATGTTCACAGTAAACGTATCGGCTGTCTCTTTACTGATCGGGGCGGGGAGTTCACTTCTCAGCAGTTTGAAGCTTTCCTGACTGAGAAGGGAATCCAGCATGACTTGTCAACGCCTAGATCGCCATGGATGAATGGACTTGCGGAGCGAGCAAATCAGACTTTGCTTCAAGGCCTAAAAACCTTTTTGCATGATGCCAATCTCTCTGAGAAGTTTTGGGGGGAGGCTCTGTCGACTTTTGTTTACACTTTTAACAGGAGACTGTCATCACCTATTGGTTGTACTCCCTATGAGAAGATGTTTGGTAAGAAACCCAACATCAAGCACATGAGAATCTTTGGTTCTGACATGTGGGTACACACCCCACAGAGCAACAAGCTTGGGAAGCGTGGGGCACATGGTTTGTTCATGGGGTACGAAAAGGGAGCATACAGGGTATGGATGACTGACTCTAAATCCATTAAGTTCACAAAGAGTGTTGAATACAATCCTAAGTGGGGGGAAAATGTGGGAATTTTCCAGAGTTACTCAGAGGAGGATGAAGGTGATGTGAAGAAAGCAGATAATGCTGAGGAAGCTGAGGATGATGATGATGATGATCAGAGTTCGGATTCCAGCTCAGTGGGCGGCGCTGCTGCTGGTGTCAGCGACAGTGATGACACAGCAGACTACAAGAGCGCAAAGGCCTCAGTCAGACCATCTGATGCGTCTGACAATGAACTGGAAGAACCACTGTTCACCATTGGTCACTTTTCTCCTAAGAAGGAGGAGATGAGTCCAGAAGACTTGCGTCTAGTACGCAGATCTGAAAGGGCGACGAAGGGCAAACCTCCAAAGAGATTTGCTGATGAGTTTGCTAAGACGGCAACTGCTGTTCTTAGTAGCTCAGAGAAGGTGTGGGAACCTTCAAGCTTCAAAGAGGTTCAGGAGTTAACCTCTAAAGATGCTGAGCCTTGGCTTAATGCCATGAAGGCTGAAGTTGATTCCTTGAACAGGAACCAAACTTGGGAACTGGTACCGGTAGTCCCAGGAATGAGACTGGTTGGCAGCAAATGGGTCTTCAAGGCCAAGACAGACCAGAATGGCAAGGTTGTCAGACACAAAGCCAGATTGGTTGCCAGAGGTTTTTCACAGGTACCAGGACAGGATTACCACGAGACCTACTCACCCACCGTCAAATATAAGAGCATTCAGCTGATGCTCAAGATTGCTGCAGAGGAGAAACTGCATGTTTCCCATCATGACATTAATACAACTTTTTGTACGGGATTTTGGGGGAGGAGCTGTATATGCTTCCACCTGATGGAATGCAGATACAGAAGGGAATGGTCTGTAAACTGCGGAAATCCTTATATGGTCTCAAGCAGAGTGCCAGGTGTTGGAACACAAAACTCACTGAGACATTGCTTTCTCTAGGTTTTCACCAGGGCAAAGCTGATCCATGTGTGTTTGTCAAGGAGGAGGGGCAAAACAAACTGTATTGTTTATGTTTTGTTGATGATCTTCTGATGTTTTGGAAGAATCAGGCTTTGTACCAAAGCACCCTAGCTCAGCTGAAGGAGCACTTTGACATGAAGGATCTTGGTGAGGTATCCAACTATCTTTCTCTGCAGGTGGAGAGGGACCAAGCAGGTAATTTTCTGGTACACCAAACACAGAAAATTGCTGATGTATTAACCAGGTTGAATTTGGTTGATGCAAACCCAGCAGACACACCGATGGTGACAGGTTACCAGGTAGATAGTACTGCTGAAGCGTTTTCTGACACTACGCTGTACAGATGCATTCTAGGCAAGTTGAATTTCATTGCTAGATGCTCAAGACCTGACATAGCTGTAAGCACTAACCTGCTTAGCAGACATGCTAACAATCCTACTGTTCAGGATTGGAAAGCTCTGAAGCGCATAGCCCGCTATTTGAAAGGGACTTTGCACTACAGGCTGAGGTTCACCAGTCAGAAGACTGGAGGTCTTGAAATCTTTGCAGATGCTAGTTTTGGAAGTGACACCACGGATGGTACAAGCACTTCTGGAGTATGCTACATGTACAACCACTGTCTGTTTGACTGGCTGTGCAAGAAGCAGACGACAGTAAGCCTAAGTTCCTGTGAAGCAGAACTCAATGCTCTGTCATTTTCACTCATGGATTGTGAATGGTTGATGCAACTGTTTAAGGACATCAGAGTTTCTGTGAAATGTCCTATACAAGTGTATCAAGACAATAGATCCTGTTTGGCTTTGCTGAACTCAGAGAGTTGCAAGCAAAGAACCAAGTACTTGCAGATTAAGCTACATCGTGCAAGAGAGTGTATTCAGAAAGGACTCATTCAGGTGTCCTACATGGCAGGAAATGAAATTCCTGCTGATCTGTTGTCTAAGGTTGTTAACAGAGAACAACTTAAGGTTTACGTACAGAGGTTGCAATTGGGTTGAACCACAGGTACTACAGGTTACACGGAAAGGGGGAGGATGTTAGGATATTTCCATTCCACCTTAAAAGGGAGCAGGCTTTGTGAGTCACAGAGTCTGTGTATTTCCTGTTCACAGGAAGTTTATGTTTTGTCTTTTGCTTTCGTTTCTCTCTGTGTGTCTGAGACACTGAAGCAGGCAGTCATGTTTTCTTTGTTCTGTCCAACGCTGAATAAAGTTGTAAATATGCTCTCCTGAGTGCATCTTTCGCTGTGTGAATTCTGCTGATAGAGCGTGCATCAGCTCTGGAATGTGGCAAGCTATTTCCGGGAGCTCGTGTTGCTAATTGCTGATACTGTATCTACGGGAGATCGATGGACGTCCGGAGGCGACGTAGAGTCATGATGGACTTTGTCTCCCTGGCAGTATCCCAACACTTTATTGGCAAGACACCCAATGACATCAGCTCCTAAGGTGCAAGAGTCACATGCACTGCTCCTGCTAAATAGCTAGGCATCTCCTTCTGCAGTATTCTCCGACTCAACAGTTGGAGCAACAGCATGACCATGCCTCCATCAGCACATTTAAACCCCCTCTTCTGATGCAGTGTGTTCAAGCCACCAGCAACTTTTCCTGTGTGTCAGCTCCAGCTACTCCTCCTGTTGTTTTAAGCTTATTCTCACCATTGGAAACTGTGAGGGACTGTCTCTTCCACCTCTGTACCTTCCTGCAGCTCTTCTGCACCTACTCTTCTTCTCCCGTCTCTGAATGCCCAGCCTCTTTCTCTTTTCCCACCTCAGAACCCCATAAATCACTGGCCCCTTCCCACTACTGTCTGCCCCTGACACACTAGCATGACAAATACACCAGTGGAGATTCTGCCAGTGGAGCTATGACGCAGCAAGGATGTACAGAGGACCAGCTGAAATGGGGTGGAAATGTGGGCAGCATAGGGAAGGAATGGACTTATGCTGCATCCTGTACTCTTTTCATTGTCACTATCCAATCTCTTCAAAAGAAGCATGCAAGCCATGGGCATGGCCGAAAAGCATGTGTGCTTTTTCCATCAGGGGAATTAATTCTTTATTCTAGAATTTCTCATTGCTGAATTCAACAACATAATGGAAAAGAGAACCAACCGAAAATTTAAAGCTGCAAGCAGAAATTGATCTTTTCCCATTTTTAAGACACACACACACACACACACACACATATATATATATATATACATATATAAGATTATACAGGTTGGGCGGCCAACCTGTATAAATCAAGCTCTAAGAAGATTGAGCCTTCCTTCTCTTAGAAATGTCTCATTTTCCCCACTTCAGTGTGGTGCAATCCATCTACACCAAATAGTATACCATAGAAGATATCAATAGACTGCCGTGGAATCAAATGGCTTTATAATCTGGTGAATTTAAGAAGGTTCCCCAGCAGGATTCATATCACTATAATTTTGAAGTCCAGATCCAAACCTCATTGGTTATGACTGATGAACTATGATTGCACTGATGTTGTATCATATGAATATTTGTCACCCTATTTTTGATGTAAACATGTACTGACTAACATGCTCTGCTTTCCAAAGTGCCCACTGGAGAAAAGTAATAATGCTATCACCAGTCATATTCTAGGGGGAAATGCACATGGTACAAAGTTTAGAATAATATTATATATCTAGGTAAAAGTGCTCAGTCTAAAGCCCAGAAGAATTCTGTCATTGTCACCTTTCATAGATTCCAGTTTTCTTCACAGCTTGGATTAAAGTGACACTTTCTGATGAAAGCTGAGTTATTAAGAATACTCTCATGGAAGTCTATTCCACTGAATTCAGCTAAATGGGTTTAGAAATGAGGCAAAGTATGTGAGGTTACAACCTTTTACTGGGCAACCTTCATTGCTCAAATTAGGAGCATACCTGTGCACATTTGATTATGAATAAAGTCCACTAAACGTACTTTGTGAGACTGGAGTCCGCATTGTCACCCAGGGGAATGAAGCAACTTCAGGCAGCCCTGTGGAATGGTGGTGGTCAATTTAGTGGGCGAAATCTGGGCAGCTTAGGATACAGTGGATCTCCAGTTCAGCTTGCTGATTCCCAGCTCATTAAACTCCAAACCCTGGCACAGCTGAAGATACACTTATGTAAATTACTGAGTCAGGGATTAAGCAGCTGAGCTGAGACAGGCTGAATTCAGGTTGGTGCAAAAAAAACACCAAAGTGGACATGATGGGGGTGAAACAAAAGAAGACTTAGGCTGGCTCCTAAGTTCAGTTTGGTTATGTGTACTGGAAACTTAGCACACTATTCTAAAGGTTTTTTTGCCCTCTGTTAGGCTTAGACAGAGCAACAGCAGCTGCCCTGCTGCTAGATGGCATTTGGATCTGGTGTAACATTAACTTAACACCAGTGTGCTTTATGCCAACTTTTTCAGCATATGATTGCTCCCTAAGGCAGAAATTGATATCTGTGTGGCACAGGAAGGCTTGTAAAGTGTTCTCCTGTATGTGTAGTGCCATTTGAGATCAGCTTCAGGTAGCAAAATGTCATGGGCAGAAAAGCCAAATTCTCATGTGATGTCACCAAGCCTGCGGTGGCATTTCATGAGACGTTGGCGAAGCCTTGTGACACTTGAAGTTGCCTTATGTACCTTTAGCAGTAATGCAGAGGAGGGCATTTCAGCAATGGTAAATCAATTTCATCACCACTTTACCACATGCTGAACTCTTCACAGATCCATTCAGGCCTCATCCTCAGTTTGATTCCAAGAATTGGCTTTGACATTTATTATAATCTGCATTTATTTTCTCTCTGTGTTTAAGCAAACATCATCCTCAAATGAAGTGACTTGCACTGCCTCTTATTCAAAAGGCTGATTATTAAAATGATCTGCTGCTGGTTTTGGATTTTCAAATAAATTTGGTTCCATGGTAATTCTACTGCACAAATGGCAAGGGCTGTGTCACAATTTGCTGTTCTGCAAGATTGCATTGGCCAGTTGACAAGTGAGAAAACAATAGACAACTCAATACTTTCAGTGTGCAACAACATAAAATGGATGGTGTGTGTGTGTGAGAGAGAGAGAGAGAGAGAGAGAAGAAAGAAAAAAAGAAAGGAAGAGAGAGAATAGATGGAGGTTTATCTTCACTGTTTTATAGGATGTCAGCTTTTAAAAACACTCATGAGGATGGTCTGTTTGTCCTCTGTATTCATAGTTTATCTTCTTAGGAACAAAATTATAGCCTCATAAAGTTATGCAATGGAACTGTAACTGTTTAATTAGAATTCAGCATAAAGTATTGTAGACACTTCTCTAAAATTGATTGTTTTGGTTAATTGCTAGTAATAAAATAATATTAAGCACATTCGTTGATTAAACTTTTATATGCAAAAATACTGTAAGAATATGAGCAAATAATATATATGGTGCAATTATTACATGCCCATAAGGACTTATTTAATTTTATAAGGCTTGTTAAATGCTGAGTATTCTTTTTTCCAACTCTATAATAAGATGCTCCTAGCTGCAGTGAAATAAGTGGTTTCTGCAAGAACGTGTATTGGATAATCTCAGTGCTTGTAGCATTATTTGATTTATAAATAGGTCAATGTTTCAAAAAGATAGTTTTCAGGCAATAAAACAAGCAGTGAGATTATTTCAAACAAGTGAGAATAAAACCACTAGTTAAAGATGATAAATTCTCATTGACCCTACACCGCATGAATGAAGACAGAAATAACTTGGTAGCTTTAACCATCTTATCTTTATTTCCTTACATATCTGCAACTAAACTAGTTAAGGCTAAATAATTATCCTACTGGCTCCCAAGATTAGAGCTACAAACCCTCATTTTCAACAACTCTCCTTGGGCTAAGAGATGCTGAAAGAGATGGGACCTACTATATGAAATTAGCTGAGGCTGATGAGAACTCCTCTAGGAATGACTAGGGCAAAAAAGACTGATATTAAAGTCAAGGTTAATTGTAAAAGAAGAGGGAGTGTCATTAGCTTTAAGCCTGTTTGATGCTATTTCAGGACTCCAAGATTCTATAGGGTGACAAGGTTGCTTAGGATAAGCTTTCTTACAGCACCATTTCATAGGTTTTTATTATTATGATTATTCATTTTTAGTAAAGTCTCATCTGCTTTCATTTACTCCCAACTCCACTGCACCTGCCAGTTGTGATCTGTACATGGTTTGATCCAAATGTAGCAATCAATGAGTCCTTAATACCCAGAAAAGCAGAACAGGCAAAAAAAGAGTCTTTCAGTTAAGTAGTCAGGCTGCTGCTACAGGAAATTTGATGAGGCCTCATTGCCTTAAATTAGAGTGGACATGTCTATCCTTCATTGGCCAAGCTGCAATGTGGCAGCATCACCAGGCCAGTGTGTCCCATGTCTCCAGCCGTTTAAGGGTTGGGGGCAAAATGCTGCGCACCATGAGGAGCATTAACAGATTCACTAAGCAAAAGAGTTGTATAATTCTTGCCTCTCCTAACTACAAATTATATTATTTTCAGGTAAAAATGTAAAATAAATAATGAGTTGCTGAAGGACATTCAGACATGGTTCAAATTTAGCCCGTTAGTCTAACAGCTTAATTATACTGGATTTCTGAAATTTGATTTAAAATACTTCTAGAAAATGTTGTAAGCCCTCTCCCCACTTTTAAAAATACTCATCCCCCCAAAAAAAAACCACTTACCACAATGCTGTAGCACTCTTTCCATTCATTTTAATAAACACACAGTAGTTAGGACTCTTAAAAGGCTGCACAAACCTAAGGAAAAAATAACAGAAGACAAAAATTGAATAATGAATCATTAATGTCTATTCTTATCTCAGTTTATTTTTATTCAAATATCTTTCTGTTTTCTAAGAAACAACTAAATTGGATGAAATGCACTACCACTCAGCCAAGGGAAGAGGAAAGTATAGGAAAGCTGATTCACACTAATAACAATGACATGCAAATAGGGTTAGGGAGGTGACAGAAACAGCTGAACTGAGACAAGTAGACTAAAGTACTGGTTTCAATTGTTTGGAAACAAGACAATAGCCCACTGGTCTTCTAAACACCATTCTTTACCAGACAGAACTCAAAAAGGAAGAATGGACATATGCTAAACAAGGTTACTGCAAAATCCCTCCCCCAATTCACATCAATTGAAGTGTTCTGGGAAAATCATTCAGTTTGATTAAAACCTAGACCTGTCCATCAAAATGAAAACTGCCCCTACACCTCCATGTCCATGATGCTCAGATCAAAATGTTTTCCGAGTCAACTTGGCTTTGCTTTTTTTAAAAAAGAAAAATGCAGCGATCCCTTTATTTCAAATGACACCCAAGTCCAAAGAGTGACTCAGGACTTTAGAGAACCCCTGATCTGGAACGGTCTGACTCAGGCATGTGAAAATCTCATCTGAATCATCCCTATTGCAATTTTGGCTGCGCACAGAGATTAGATGCACCCCAAGCATTTAATATGGATATAAATTTCATGCAACTGAATGTTGTGGGAGATTATAGAAAAATGTTTGGGCTTGGTTGGTGGAATGTGTTTTATCTTCCCAAAAACAAAATAGGGTAAGGAAGTGGTACTGTTGTCACTATTATTTCCACATTAGCACACAGGTGGTTCTGTGGTCTAAACCACCAAGCCGCTTGGGCTTGCTGATTGTAAGGTTGGCAGTACAAATCCTTGTGACTGTTACGATATAGAAGCAATGCAGCTGCAAACTGCTAGCTTGAAAAGTAAACATGATGGGAATGTTGTGACTGTCCGTGGGAAACAGAGGGACAGTCAGCTCACAGGGCAATGCACCGGAATTAGCTCAGAGTGTAATATGAGCTCTTCCTCTTGCTCTTGTACAGGAAGTACAGGAGGTGTTTGTCTCTCTACTGCTGGAGCTTGAAGAGAGCAGTCATGTTTTCTGTTATGCTTCAAAGACAGAAATAAAAGCATGTAAAAACGTTTCTGTCCATCTCCTTTTCCCTGCCGGGAGAGCAGGAGGGGGGGGGTGTTCTTCTCACGCTGAGAAGAATCGCCTATCGCGACCTAGCCTGGATCTTGCTGGGAATGCAGCCAGGGAGGTCAACAGGAGACAAAGCCGGGTGCCTGGGAATGTTGCCAGTTACTCCCTATATAGGCTTGATTTCCGACAGTGACGGGGTGAGATCCTGTTGTTTTGTCCCAGCTCATGCCAACCTGGCAGTTGGCAGGAAAGCATACCAACGTGAGTAGATAAATAGGTAGGAAGGTAAATAGTGTTTCCATGTGCTATGGCACTCATCATGGTGTTCCGTGCACCAGAAGCAGTTTAGTCTTGCTGGCCGGAAAAGCTGTCTGTGGACAAATGCCGGCTCCCTTGGCCTGAGATGAGCGCTGCACCCCATAGTCGAATTTGACTGGACCTAACCGTCCAAGGGTCCTTTACTTTTACCCCTTACCTATTATTTCCATTCTAAATTAATTGAACCAGGATACACACTGTTAGGTGTGCTCACTGCCCAAAAAGGAAGTGGATTTACAGTTAGGAGAGCTTGAAAAGGATCTTGAAGTTTATGGCATGCAAGTTTATATCTATAGATATAGGTAAATAGCCAGCCATTAGCCTAGTTACCATGTACCATTAGTGGCAGCAGTTGCTCAAGATTCAAGGAGGAGATTTTTTTACCAGCCTGACTAGCTAAGATGCTTTGAACTAGCGTTGCAGCTTAGAACCATATGTTTGTGAAGCATGTATTTCTGAGCTGTGGGCCTTGCCACACAACATGCAAGACAAAGACATTCAGCTGGGCCTTGGGAGCTAGTTGAAATCCTCTAAATTCTACACAAAGGCTTATACTCTCTCCCCACCCCCCCGAAAACAGAGCATATTTTGTGCTAAAGCGTTTGCATGGCAATAAACAACGAACCCAATTATTCTGTTTTTACAGAGTCATCTTAAAACAACCCAACATCTTGTACAGGCAATAAAGTCCACAAATGACTTCAGAAGAAAGTGTTCATAAATAAAAGGAGAGGTGTTCTGAATAAAAATGATAAAACTGACATTTTCTCGCCCAGTTTGCTAACAGCATATTCACCTTTTGTAGGCAGGAGAATATGGAGTCAGGTGTTTGTGAGAATAAAAGTATCTGTAACTTGTTGAGGATTTTAAGTGCCAGATAATCTACAGTTTGCTAAGAGTGCAGCTGGAAAGAGGTTCAAACCTCAGGTAGATGATAAATGTGCTTGAAGATATTCATTGTATTAGGCACTCACCAGATCGTTATGTGAAAAAAGAACTGTCCCAATTTTATCATAAAAAAATGCAATCTCAAGAGGTCAGGTCATTTGCCCTTTATAATAAATGAAAATATGGTCAAGAAATTGAAGCTGTAATTTTATTCCCAATCTTTTACTTCTAGCAGTTTCTGGACAATGGTTTAGCGTTTGATCAACTGGTGAAGAGTGCTTTGCACACTATGACTGTGAAGGAGAAATATCAATATAATGATTCTCCAAAGCCCTTTGCAATGGAGAATGCAGTAACATGTAAATTTGAGGCTCCCAGTAGAGAAGATGCTCTCATTGTTTCACACAGGAAGGCCTTGGAGAGAAAAATACATTTCCCCCGAAATGTCATCTAACAGATGAGGCTAGATGCAGCTTCATATGAAGGGACCTTTAGAAACATTTTTAGGATAATGTTTTTCACTCATGCCATACCATTCTTATGCCAAATCTTTCTACAAATATAAGAAAAAGCCAAGAAAGTTGATCAGGGAAGAGGACTTGATATCCGTTGTGAATAGCTTCTGTGTCTGATAAACATGAAAAGCTATTACATGGATTCTATGCATATTTGCTAGGTAAAAGATTCTGGTGAATAATATAACACAGGAGTCACCCATATGATGCTAAGTAGTGTCCATGAAAGGTCACAGTAATATCCCCTCAAAAATCCACAGAGAGACTGTTTGCTCTTCCTGCTCAGTTCCTGTATGAACTGGCTCAGCCTCTCCTACCTTAAATATACTCATATTTCCTATACAGTGGTATCTCGGGTTAAGTACTTAATTCGTTCCGGAGGTCCGTTCTTAACCTGAAACTGTTCTTAACCTAAAGCACCACTTTAGCTAATGGGGCCTCCTACTGCTGCTGCGCCACCGGAGCATGATTTCTATTCTCATCCTGAAGCAAAGTTCTTAACCCGAGGTAATATTTCTGGGTTAGTGGAGTCTGTAACCTGAAGTGCGTGTAACCTGAAGCATATGTAACCTGAGGTACCACTGTATTTCCCTTCTACAACTGGTTGAGCTAGGGATATGAGCTGTGGCATTAATCAAGCCAGATACCTTAGGAAATCAAATGTGGCTTCATGACAGCCTCAGTCTGTGACCCTTATGTGAATAGAATTCACCAAAAGTGAGAGTTTAATGGACAGCATTAGCTTAGGTCCATTAGTATGATGAGCATTGGATGCAACTCCAGGATTGTTGATGATACAATGGTCGCTTGCCCCTTTCTGGATGGGCAGAGTTTGTGGTTCGAGGACCTGACCCCCGCGATGTGAAATGAATACACAAGGACACGTGATATAAGGTTAATGGGCATGGAAAGGCCACAACTTTATTGATTACAGCAGTGAAAAGGTATTGGCTTAGGCATTGGATCTCTAAAACACGTGGGTTTATTCACCAGTAGGTGGAGCCTGTTGATGCTAATCCAACTATAGGCTCCCCTGATGTCACCGAGGGTCGTGCCATGGCCTCCCGCCAAGCAGGCATCGGACAGAACACACGACCGCCAGATTCCTTTAACGGAATACCCAAAAATTGAAGGCATAGGCGATGGCCACACCTAGCCCTTCGACACACCACAACACATTATTCCAATGCCTAACCGCCACCCGAGCCAATAAGGCTCGACGACGACGACGGCGAAGAATGAGGCCAGGGAGAGGCTGGCACCGCAGCATAAGGCTGCTGAACACGCCCCCTCCGAGGCACCTGGTTGGATGCCTGCAGAGGGGGCGTGGGCGCCAGCCAGGTGAGGTGGAGGCAGGGGGCAACCGCCCCTGCTAGGGGCGGTGCTCGGGCTCCCGCCCACAACCACTCCCCTCTCTTCCAGGGAGGAGAGTCTTTGCAGCCCCTTGCAGTCCGACTCCATCCCTGGCAGCCATGAATCACAAGCTTGGCCAACCAGTGAGATTCTGACCAGCTGCACTACAGGGTGAAATTGTCGCCAAAACATCAAAATTGAACGGGCCAATGAGGAGCCTGCTTCAAAATCTGTCTGAGGACTGAGAAGCTGCTTTGGAACATTGCAGCATATGAGCTTTAGGATAATGAGGAAAAGGGGAAGTAGTCTGTTCCCTTATCAAGTGATCCTGTCCTTATCGAAAAGTCTCACCAAGGCTTGGAATGTGCCATTTTCTTTTAGACAAGTCAAAATATGCCTTTGATATCTTCAAAAACATGCTGTTCAGCCATGAAAGAAGTTTAGAGTCAGTGTGGTGTAGTGCTTAGTTATCATGTCCGACTAAGCTTTCAAAGTCACACATACAATCATGGAACTGACTGGCCTTAGTTAAGCCACCAACTGTCACTCTAAACTACCTCAAAGGGTAGTTGCGAGAATAAAATAGGAGCGGGTGGTCATGTACCCTATATTGTGCCCCTTTGCAAAAAGGGGGATATCAAGGCAATAGATAGATATGTCAACATAGATTTTGAAGTGACGAGGCAAATCTGTTAAATCAGTCATATTAATTTATTGCACAGAGGCATCACTTAAAAAAATAACTGCCATTTGGAATAAAATGACACATCACTTTATAACAAACCTCTCTTTCTTTGGATTAATGTGGGGGTTTTTATCCATGAAATCAAAACATCAAATACCCAAATTGTGGAATAAAGATAAACAGTCATTTTTCTACCCTCAGGGAAAGTCTGTCCCTGAATTACTATTCCCCCCCCCCCCCAAAGCCTTGTCCTCCCTGCCTTATCTGACTATCAGAACAGTGCTTTGCCCCTTTAAAAGTCCCTCAGCACAAGAAATGAAGTGTTACGAATAACAGCTCTGTAATTTCAATATGAGATACATTTCTCATTTTAAGAGGTTTATTACAAAGGTCACTGCTGAATGAATAACATGTGGAAATAAGATATTTAATAGAAGTGCACAGAACTGCAACAGCTCTCTAAAATCGAAGCCCAAAAGAGGCAGCTAGGATCATTTGAAGGACAGACATACAAGTTGCTGTTTTAATGTAACATTCCTTGTAGTAGCTGTTTGCTTGATATTTTCCCTTGTTATCGAACTTCAGAGACTCACTGGTGGTAGCTTTACTGCCTTAAAGTAGAAATTTAAAGGCTACTATATCTCAAAGAAAAGGCAGACACAACTATCTGGTGAGAACAAGAGATTGGTAGATAAATGGATTAATGTTTAACAGAAGCCCAGGCTGTCGTTGATATGAAAGATCTTTTACATCAGGGAGGTGGATTATGAATGCTTCCATTTCTGTCTGACAGTTAGGGGAGGATAAGCAGGAAAAAAGGCCTCCTATAATCAACCAAACAATGTGTTTTTAGTAGACTTACAAGAAAAAACACTTTCTGTGCTCTTCTTATCTGCTTATTCCCTTGCTATTTCCTGCTTCTTTAGTTGAAAGGGAAAGCTGATGGAATTTTTGGCGGCTAAAGAAAGAACTCAAAGGGCAAGAGAGCCTTTGCTCAGACCTACAAAGTTCTGGCCAGGTGACAACCTTTAGTAGAACAAACGGGAAATGCAGATGAAAACACTGTTGAAACCATCTGCCCTCTGCAACCCCACAGATGGGGATATTATTCAGAAAAGTGGAAGCCTGACATGGTACAGTTTCTTTCCCCCCTCCTACTCCTGGATTTGGGAACATCTCACTTTTTATTGTGAGGTTAATTGGTGTATGTTTATATACTGCATGCTTCCCTTGTTTTCTTATAATGGCAATGGCGCTCACCTGAGAGGTGCCAGAACCAAGTTCTGGAGGGAAAAGCCCTGCTTCCAAGAGAGAGCTTCACTAAAGAGTACACCCAGGTATCTAAATGAGCAAGTTTGTTCTATTGCTTGCTGATCCAAGTACTATTTATACCTAGGACTGTGTTTGCCCCCCAAAAATCATCCCAACTCACTCATCCCAGTGGATCTCAGATTAGGATTGTGTCCTTAGTGTGGTCATTAATTTCAGTGGGTCTACCCTGATTAAAATTAATTGATTACAACCCATTCACATTGACAGGTTGTGTTGCTCTCCCATATATAGAGATAGATAGATGATAGATATAATAATAATAATAATAATAATAATAATAATAATAATAATAATAATTTTTTATTTATGCCCCACCCATCTGGCTGGGCTTCCCCAGTCACTCAGATAGATAGAACAGGAAGCATGCTTATAACCTATTGTTCATTTCAAAATGAACTGCCGTGTTGAGGCACACTTAGGTCCCATTAAATGTGATATCACATTGAGAAATTGTTTTTCATTGGATTACTCTGCTGCAGTGCTGTAATATTTTAAGGCCCTCGCCCACATGTTCAGGAAGAAAGTTAATCCCTTTTACTTCCTCCACAAAAGCCCCTGGGACCTATGTGTATGTCACTTTGAGGGCTTAGTGCACTCTGGGGGTGCTTCTGTGCATGTAAATGTTATCTACTTTGGTCAAAAGGAGGGCAAAGTTGTAACTGGTTTATATTTCCCATACAGAGCTTCTATTGTATAACAAATGTCTTGGAGTGCATATTACAGGAAAAAGCAGAGGCTGCCTACACACAAAACTGTTGACAGCAGAAAATGTAGTTTCCCCCCTCCCTAAACTGAAATTGTCCATGTTTTTCCTCAACTTTCAATCTAGATTGATTATAGATCCTGCTGTCCACAAGGGTGGGTGTGCTTTTTTGATACAATTTGAAAACCTTCCCCTTGATTAGGTTACCTGTGTTTTTTCTTCCCTGCACATGCCCCAGGGGAATGAAGAAGGAAGTACTGATTGTGATCTTGGCATTCACTGACCCATAATATCATTGGACAGATATCGATACACACAGCCCATTGCCAGGACTGCCTACATCTGTTTTCACCTGTTTTCAAATGAACACACCATGAGGTAATGCAGATTCAATCCAAAATTCTCTAATTAGTTTTTATTATCTGGATGAAACCAGTTTCTGAAGAAGAGCTTTACAGGGACAAAAAAAGAAAAGAAAAAAGAAAAAGCAGTAGATCTAGAATGTGTGTGTACTAGGTTGAAAAACATAAGTACTCAGTCTTCATTGATTCTAGAATAAAACACAGCCAAAGAGAGTGAGCACAGAGTGAATTAGAAATGGATCAGATTTTTTTTTCGTTAAAAAAATAACACCCACAGATAAAGATAAAAAACAAATCTTGAGGTCAGTGCATACCCCTAGTCTCTAGTTAGACACAAATTCAGCCTGTTGTTCAGGAGAACAAATTGATTTCTGTGAATGATCAAACTGATGATTATCTACAAATATTTGCCATTCAATTGAACCTACAACAGAGCATAACGGCTTTCAATAAAACATTCATTATGATGCTATGAGGCCTTCAATGGCACATAAAATAGATCCCAAACTGCACATTACATGCAACTTTCCATTACATACTGCACAGAAATGTCCTTGACATTCAAGACTTTGCTATACATATTTCAGCATGCGTCACTCCAGGGTGTATTTGAAAATACCCTCCACTTGCCTTTAATAATAATGACTTGTCATATGGAATCCAGATCTTGGCTAATCTAACATAATACGAACTTGATGGTTTTTATTAACTGTCAAATGAAGCCCAATTGCCGTCAGAAACATTTTCCCCTTCTGTCATGCATTTGTTCCTAGCATGCTTCATTCCTGACCACTAACGGAAAAGGTTAATAAACTACAGTATTAGATGCCATTAATATTCAATATGCATGGCATGCGAATAATTTTGCAGACTTTTGAATTTTGGAAGATGTGGGGCCATTAATGTGTCTATTCTGCAGCCTTGTAAAAGGGCACTATGCTGGATGCGTCCCCCTAATTTGAAAGCTAAAAGGTCTGTGAAGATTCCTCACCACATTAGTCCCTTCCCACCTTGATTGAAATTCAGGTGGTCGCTTCTGAATTTTGCAGGGCTCGTTTTTCCTTCACTTTCTATCTCCTCTCCCATTCTTGTTATTATTAATCCAATTGTCTTTTATACACATCTTTACTGAATAGCAATGAATGTGAATGGAATATAAGGTAATAAAGACTCCAGATGGCATTTGGGGCCATTTGGTCATTAGTATCAAAAGGTTAGTGATCATCTGTACTTTTTATTTCAACAGCATTATGAACCAAAAGAAAAGAATCCACCAGTGTATACTTGAAGTGCAAAACCACCTCCAAACAACTCCCAGAGTAAATTAGTTGTAAACGGGGATTTTTTTTATTTTATTTTGTTCTTTGAAGGCAATTGTTTTTTGATTGATGAAATACTTGATCAGCCGTGGAAAGGTGTTGAGTATGGTTTTCTTTTTCCTTTTTCAAAAAAGTGTTCATCACATTTCTTTCCTTTCCCCCCTTTTCTCCCTGTAATTATTATTATTAATTACATAAGAAAATAGCTAGCATTTCTTCACATTTCATATGATGTCTCTCCACCATTAAAAAAAAAATAAAAATCCATAGGGACTTCCGGGGTGGCGCCATCAGCAATGGCGGACTCCCTCTGAACTGGAGGGACTAGCTCCGCGGGAAACTGGTCTTCTCCGCTACGGCGAAGCAGGGACCCTTTCAAAAATCACAGGCAGATGAAGCCTGTGACCATGGGACTCGGCGGGCACCTTTAGCGCCCCCCCAACTCGCTAAGGAACCCACTAACGGGCTCCGAAGTGAAGAGGGGGAAGTGGCGCGGTGCTGTGAGTCAACTGCTATTTCCGTGGAGCGAAGCCGCATAGCCGTTGCCGGAGAGCGCTGCCTTTTCCTGGGACAATTTGGACTCTAAAATAAGCACCCGTGAGTACTTAGACTTTGAACAACTGGACATTAGATGGGGACTTGCGAGCAGAAAGGAATTGGATCTTAAAAATCTATTTCAATTTGGTACGGAACGGGAAGGTCTAAACAGGAAGTCAGCCTTCCGTTCTTCTGTAGACAGAATAAAGCAAAGATAACGTAAACTAGAGCTCAGAAAATCGCTTTTAAAGGATTGGATTTCATCATTTAAAATCGTGGAACCCCCCCTTTGACAGCAGGAGAAGAAGGGGGATCTTTTTTTGGACTGTTTAAAGTGAGTTTAAAGTAAAGCAACTTTCCTCCGTCCTGATCCTGGAGCGGGGTGTCAGGACTGACATTTGAAGTTCATTGACCAGAGACAAACGTTTTTGACAGATAGCTAAAAGAAGAGAAACATAGTGATTCCACTGTTTCCCTTCGCATTTCAAAGGAACAAATATTGACAAAGTATCTCAAAAGGGAAACTTTGTTGCAA